GCAAACTAATTGTTCAGAGCCCAGCCTGGGGATGGGCTAATTGCCAAAAGCAAATGTTGAGATACTGAGACCATGAATTAAAATTAGGTCAGCTTCTTCCTCCTTTTATATCTGTCGTTTAAGCTTGGTTTCACTAAAGCTGTATGTAGGGCAGAAAGCCTAAAAGAGTGCTAGATTTGGGGATGCAGGAGAGACAACTGGCTGGAAAAATGCAAGTAGAGGAAGAAAGAAATCCCTGCACTCTTTTTCCTTGTATTTTACCACTGCATTTGTTTCTCCTACTCCCCTAAACCTGACTTTATTTCAGTCTTAAGCCCTGGAGCAGAGCCTGTGCTGTAGCACTGAGCAGTTAGATACAGTGGTACTTGATCCTGGGGTACTACCCAGTCCTGCTCACTTGCTCCTTCAGAAAAACACACGACTACATTGGCAAGACTGGGACTTAAACCAAAAACCTGCCCTCTGTTTGAAAGCCTGTATCATTCAAATGTTAATATTAGGTGTCTTTGTCACTTCTGGGCTTTTAATGCAAGATCTCAGTATGTTTTTCTTCACAGAAGAGACCTAAACAATACAAAAGTACTGCAGCATCAGGTCAAACAATGTAAAACCCAGCGACTTTCCCTCCATGGTGTGTTGGGAGCTGCTCTGCTGCAGAAAATACCCGTTTGCCTCTCGCTCTGATCCCATGACTTGCTATTTATCCTTCTCCTGATCAGGCCCTGCTTCTTAAAGCAAGAAAACTGTGTTGTATTCAAACCGAAAAAGTGCTAAAATGTTAAATTGAAGCGAGAGGCTTGGAGTGGCAGCCCCGCAAGGCGATCCGAGAGGTGTGTTTGTGGATCAGTAAATGAAAAGGTAATAGTTGGGAAGCGCAGTGCCAGGCTGGGGTGTCTTGTGGCTGTTTGAGCACAGCTGCCAAGCACCTTAACACCACACATGTTTCTTTGCTTAAGGGAAAAGCATAGTATGAGTGACATCAAGAAGCACAAACCAGCATTTTTGAAAACTTCCAATAAAGACAGAAAGAAGAAAATYCACCAAGCGCGCTCTTGAGAGACAAATAATTAGAACCAGACATATAATTTTTATGCAATCATTCTCTTCCTTTCAGAAGAGASTTGGAGCTCGCTCTTGAATTGGTTAATCAAAATCTCAGCTGACTATATGATCGTCAGTGTGGTTCCCAGGGAACTAATTGAGAACATTCAATATCTGCAAATGAGATTGGCTTCCATGGGCGCATCCATCTCTGTAGAAAGTGCTTCAGCCCCCACAATAAACCCGTGCTGCARGGGATCAGCTCTTCAGTGCAAATAGGCAAGATTAGCAGGGGGAACAGGAAAAAACACTTTTCATTTTATTTGTCCTTTCCCCAGAGTACTGACCTAAGAAGATGGGTGGAAAACCTCAGCAGCTGAGTCCTGCTGCTATAATATCCCCTTCAAAATGGACAAAAGGTGACGGGCTCGACACAGGACAGCAGTAGGACATAGGCTGCTGTATAATACCTCGTGTGGAGTCTAACTGCACCAGGTTGGGGTAGTTTCTCTCTGCCGCTGGCTTTTGTTGCTGCTGTCGCACCAATTCCAGGGCTTCATGTTTTTGTGATAAACCAGTCTCCCAGATTGAAATCATTCTTTGCCTTCTTTTTTTCCCCCGCTAATTTATCCCCCAACAAGGAGAACCTTATTAGCCTTACCCAATCTAGTCACAGTAARCAACCCAGTAATAAGGTTGACGTTGCAGGATGGTCCGAATCCATCGCAAGCAGCTGCTATTAAAAAGCGTGTCTCGGGGCTGATGGATTTTCACGCTGCAATGGCAGGATGGATGTGTTGCATCTCACGTGTGATTGCTGGGCGTAGGGTTGCTGTGCAATGCATGGGAAAGCTCGAGGGCTCTGTGCACAAGCAGGCTGTGATGCTGGCTGGAGACCAAGGTGATGGGCTCAGCACAGCATTAAATAATCCAGYTTCTTTATGAAGCGCTGTAAAAATACCAAACACATTCTGCTCCATTTGAAGATGTGCCTTGCATTCCCTCCAGCTTGGTTGTTAATTTTCTTGTGAATAGGCTCCCTTGGGAGCATTTCTGGAGTAGTGGTGTTAAAGCAGATACATGAGGCTCATTTGAGACCCATAAAAGCAATTCACGCAGGCGAGCTGGTGCCAGCGCTAACGCTGCCAGCGACGAACAACTTGGAAGCGTTTTCCCGGCTCAAGTGTGTTTGTTTTAATGCCTTGTGAATAAATTCCCCAGGAATTTCCCAGCTCCTAGGACAGCATTTGCCTCCTGCTGCTGGCTTGCCCCGGCTCATTGTGCCTGCATGGCATCCCGGATGCCAAATAATAGCCAAATAATAACACCCTTTGGGTGGCAATGTGTGGCCCTGTCCCAGACTCTGGTGGCATTTTGCTGGTTTGCGGGGGTCAAGTCTACTGCGAGATATTTCTTGTAGCAGCTGAAAGATGGAGAGGAAAAAGCCCTCAAAACCCAATGACTTAATCTGAAAGCTCTCTCTGGTTAAGTTACTTATAGGCTCTCATTAAACCTTATATTTTCTTTGCTGTCTCTGTGGGCAGAGCGATATTTCTAAGATTAAGTCAAGATCAAAGATTCAGAAAGATTCAAAGATCAAAATTCAAAAAAAAAAAAAGTTGAGGATTTAAATGCAATTTATGAGGAATTTGGCACATAGCAAGCACTGGAAGTGTCTATTACTGTGCTAAACGTCTGCCGTACCTAAGGTGATGCCTGTGCTTGGAAACCAACCGTTGGGTGAAAGGCAGTAAATCAGCCTCCTCGTGCTGTCAGTCGTGCTGAAGAGCCTTGGCCGTGTTATCCTGGGCTTGCTCTGCTTCCCGGCTGCTCCGAATCCTGCATAGCGCGAGTAAATCTCGCTGCGCGCGGCCCTGACTTACTGCTGCTCGAGGGCCACGTGAAATATGGTGAGGATTGATTTTCTGCAGGAGACAGGGACATCTGGCAGCAGATAAAGAGGGCGCTTTAAAGCAAGAGCCAGGTGGGTACCTGGACCCTGGCTGCCAGCTTTGCGCGCTTACATCAGTGAAGGTCAAACCTGGCATATGTTACCAGTACTTGTCTCGTTTGGAGCTGCAGATGGCTGGAGGCAGTTCTCAGGCTTGCAAAGCTGTGGCATGTGGCTTTTGCTGTCTCTTTGCTGTGGCCGATGTGCTCAAAGGGAGCAGTTTGACAACGGTGTGGCTTGGGGAGCTGCTGGGAGTGCTTAGTGGGATGCACCACACTTGGGGCACATAGGTCAGGCTAAGGGCTGGAGAAGAACAGGAAAGCTTTGGTTATATCTGCCTTTTGGGGCTGTTTAATGTGAGGGCATGGGCAAAGGAGGTACTGAATCGGGATCCGGGAAGGTTTTGGCATAGCTTTCCTGAAGAGCATGAAGATGGGCTTGGAAAGTTCCCCAGCTACTTAGAATAAAAGTTACTTAGCTCCTGGCTGGTCTCCAGCGTTTCTATTGCTCTGCCTGCAAGAATTTCTCCCTCTGTGGGGTTTGTGCAAGTTATATTTCTCCGAGTTTGGAAACTAATGATCAAGAGTGACCATCTGCGACCTCTTAGAAGGTATCTGGATGTACATTTTCCACTGCTGAGGCGCWGAGATAACTCAGCGCGGCTGCTGTGTGGACTTGAAAGCCCATCCTCAGATGCAGTAGTGCTTTCCAGCTACACGTGTTGGTTTGTGGTCTCTCCTAAATGAAAATTGGTTCTGCAGGTGGCTAAAACTGGAGGGTAATTTGTTTGCAGGCTCATTTGGAGTCTCACAGCGAATGCAGAGCTGTGAACTGAAGGCAGAAATAAAAGCAGCCTGTGATTTCAGAGAGCCTCTGTTTTCTGCGATGGGGAAGTAGCTGAGCAGGGCGGCTGCTGATGCAAAGCCTACAGCTGTCCAAGCCAAAAATGCTGTCTTCTGCAGACACTTGCCAGGTGGTGACTGGCGTTTGAGCAGCCTGTCTGGCAGCTATTTGCTTGCCATGAAGACGAGACTTTGATATATTTGCAACTTATGAAGTCCCATTATGTTTTTCATGTGTTTCCCACTTAGATCCCGGGACATCACGCCACAGGCTGAAATAGGAGGAGGAAAGCTCAGGCTTCCCTTCTCTGTTATCTTTTCCAGCTTGAGATAACTTTCCTATTGGAAAGTTATCCCACTTGGAGGGGATARCTTTCCATCCCACTTGGAGGACTTTGCATGTCTTTTGAAAATAGTTGGGTAGAAACCAGCAGGGCAAACTGCTAGGACGTTTATCTAGTCAAATTATCCAAATGTGTTTAAGTGGTGGTGGATGGTGAGCGGTCAACCTTCCTCTTTGTGGCCAAATGCCTCTAGAAGAGGATGGAGGGATTGAAAGCTTTGGGTTACGAAGGATGGGAAGCAGGCAGGGAAATGCAGGCTGGAAATGCAGAGGAATCTGCATTTCCAAGGATGGTCAAGGGTCAAGGATGCAGCAGGGTTTTGGGGTTCACCAACACTTCTGGAGAGCAGCCAGGCAGTGCCACCGAGGCTGCAGGAACCTCTGAGCAATGAAGCATTTCAGCCATCTCTTTGGCTAATCCACTTACCTTGATGGGTTAGACAGATCAGGGATGGAGTTTAGTTAAAGAACCAGCTTAGMAGCCCGTGAGCGGATTGATAAAATATAATTCCATTAAGAGATCCTCTCGAGCCTGAACGGCACTGGTGTGTGGGTGGGAAGCTGTCTCGGATGGCTTAGGGCAGCTCGTGTGTCGGGATGTTGCTGCCTCCACCGGATGGTTCCACACCAAAAAGCAGCGGGATGGTTGTGTCCAGAGGCAGGGCAAGCAGGAGGAATTTTCCAAGAGGAAATTCTTCTTGGCACCAGTCCCCATGGGCACAGGGTCACTCACCTAAGCCTATCCCAGCGCTGTCCTCGAGGTTAAAACCTTCTCTTTCTCTCTCTTTCCCTCTTGCCTCCCTGCCTGGCTCTGCTCCCGCAGCAACGTGGACACGAAGGAGCTGTGCGGTGAGTACCAGCCCCTGCTGGGCACCGGGTCTGCCTTCCAGCAGTGCCAGAAAACTGCTAAAAAGCAAAGTTGACCCCTGTCTCCGTGGGGTAAAGGGTTTCTTGGGCTGTGCCAGAATTAAAAATAAGCAAGCTCACATAAGACGAGAGCTGGGGCCGGTTAGCAGGCTGCAAGGTGGCTGTGTGGGACCCTGGTGGCTCTAATGCAGGTGGCCCCGGCTGGCAGAATTTTCTTCATTTTCCTGCAGCACAGACAGGCTCCAAGCTGGAGCATGACAATGACGGGAGTCGGTTCAGTAATAAGGTGGAGTTTAATATCTGGCACATACCCTGCAAGATCTGCTCTGCGCTTCATTAAAGTAGGATCCCTCTGTGACACCAATAATGTGCTTATCCTTAGGCAAACCTGCCTGCTTTGTAGCAGGCTGGTTAAAATACATGTAATCCTTCTGCAGCTCAATGAAATTAAAGACTGAAAAGCAAATCTGCAGGAACACTTTGGTCCATACCTTGTTTCAGCAGGGATTGCCTCATGCGGGTGTTTCTCAAGGGCTTAGAGGCAACCTTCATCACTAGTTACAACCTTAAAGGTCCAGATTTGAGCAGATGAGGTGGTGGTTGTGTAGGGTTGAGTTCTGGTGAGACGATGGTTGTGTGGGATTTTTTTAGGCCTCATGTAGTGAGATGCCTCTCACTGTCCGAGCTGCCACAAACCGCAAGGAAGTCCCCATCTTGATCTAGCTTCAACCAATTCCTRATTTATTTGGGGGCAATCTGAGATGCCTTGTGCTTCAAGCATTTTTATTTAAATCCCTAATCTGATGAAGTGAGATAAAATTGCAGGGAAAAATGTTGCATTTTTTTTTTATTGGTCCAAATGGCAAGTTTTCAAGCACGCAGATTTCCTCAAGCCTGCAGCAAAAGCCCCTTTCATTGGAGCACTAGGTAGATAAACCAACCAGTTCATTTTGTGCAACGTAAATGGTGTTTAGTCACCCAGAGATCCTGGGTCAATCGTGTTGACTACCTGCTGTCACCAACCAAGTGCTTTCTTATTTGCTTGTCCTTCTTCCAAGAGGTGTTTTATACATGAAACCTCATCTCGTCAAGCTGGAAACTCTGGTCTCTCCTTTGGAAGCAGTTGCACCTTGTAGTATGTTGAGAGCATCTGGAAACGGACCCTCGGACTTGGCAGCTTGTGAGGGAAGTTTAGGATGAGTGAGTCATGATCGGGTAGCATGCTGTAAAGCTCTGTGGCTTTCCAACAGTCACTATTAACAAGAAGCATTTTGGGATTGCAAAGATAATTTATTGGGCTTATCACAGCAGCTCTCCCTAATTAATTGTCTGGGAAATAATATCAATGTGTTAAAATGGGAGATGATGACATGGGATGCTGCTTGGCCCTGTCTCTCCCTGGGCAAGCATGAGAAGCRGGGACAGGGCTTCCTCCGAGGATGCATTTACACCATGCGTGTGGAGCACCAAACCCAGTGCCATCTCTTTCCTCCATGTTTCTACCAGCACAAGCCAAAAGAGTGGGATCAGGGAAGCTGTGTGGCTGAAAGAGATGGCCAGGATACCAAGCAAGGGCTTTCCCAGGGGAAAATCACAGAATCACAGATTGGTTAAGGTTGGAAGGACCTCTGGAGATCATCTAGTCCAACYTTGCTGCTCCAGCAGGCACACCTAGAGCATGTGGCACAGGGTGGCATCCAGGCGGGTTTTGAAGGCCTCCAGAGAAGGAGACTCCACAACCTCCCTGGGCAGCCTGTTCCAAGACTCTGTCACCCTCACAGTAAGGAAGTTCTTCCTTACCTGGAGATGGAACCTCCTGTGTTTCAGCTTATACCCATTTCCCCTTGTCCTATCAGTGGCCACCAATGAGATGAGTGGGGAAACTCATCTCCTTGGCACAACAGCCCCGCATTGCAGCGGCTGGGCATCTCCTGGGCATCCATCCCATGTCCTTGCCACGTGCGCAGGAGCTGTCTGCAGAACCAGCCAGAGCAGCAAGATCTCAGATGTTCCCAGGGGTACCCCTGCGAGCAGGGAGGTATAACATACATAAGATTAAAACCATGCGCCTTCGTAGTTGTAAAAAAGAGCAAAGATTGGTGCTGTTCTCCTCCCAAATGCTCACTCCCCTTGTGCTTGCAAGGCGGTTGGTCACCATCAAGAGCTGGGCTGTGCCAGGAGAAGCCCTTTTCCTTCTGAAATGTGTGGGCCCTCGCTGCTTATTTTAGGACTCAGAAAGAGATTGCCTCTCCTTTGCAAAACTGCTCATCCTTTTCTTTGCCTGTGAAAGTAAACAGGCTGCTTGGAGGGTTTGGCTGGCAGCAAACAGCAAGCAGCTGCTGTCACTCTTATGGTGACATCCAGCTTCTGCCAAAATCTTCCTCCCCTTGGATAGGTTCTAAGGCCCTAAATAGATATAGGCACTTCTAATGAAGCTGAGAGCGCCTAATTAGTGTCTAATTGTCTCCTGGAGTTTGTTTCTCRTTGAATTCCACAGTGGCGTCGTCTCCAAATGAATCTTTGCTTTTTTTTTAATGTTGAAGAAAAGCACTAGGAGCTTTTAACAAGTAGCTTTTAACCATAGTTTATGTCAATCAAATGGCAATTGGTTAGCTCTGTGTCGACACCACAAACTTAGCACATCCGCTGCTGCCAAACTGAATTTCCACTATCTCCATTGTAAATATCTAATTGCAGGGTTTGGTAGCTCCTACACAAAACTGTACCAGGACTAAAACATGTCCCTGGAGCAATCAGTTCTGTGCTTTTAGCAGTGTTTTACATTAGCACAGAATAGTAGCGGTTACTTGGCCTGAGTCCCCCTTGGTCGTAGGAAGCAAAGGCCAAAGGCAGGTGGAGACTGGATGGATGCCCGACCACATCACACTAACCTGGTGGAAATCACTGGGGAACATCCCTGGCTCCTTAAACATAGGCCCACACAACCAATTACAACATCTGCTTTCAGGTTATGGAGCATAAAAACGTAATTGAAATGGCTTCTCCAATGTTCTCCTTCCACCAAAGTAGACCTTGCTGTGTGGCGTAGCCTTGAAATACTCAGATACCTGAACACTGCATGTCGTGTCCCTCTTGGTTTCCTCAGACTATTTCGCTGATCACATGGGAGATTATGAGGACGTCTTGGCATCGCTGGAGACCCTGAACCTCTCCATCCTGAAGGCGATGGACTACACCAAACGGGTGAGTCCTTCTTGCTTATCCTGGCTTGTGTACCGTGGCCACAACGATGGGGAGGAGCAACCTTTTCCAGATGAAAATACAAATGAGAGGGTGAGCTTCATCAAGAAGAAGAGAAAATAGCACAAATGTCTTCTCTGCCCAAGTGGATCATTGCCAKGATGTGAAGATGGTGGATGTTTTGATTGGTTTTCGCAATCTTAGGCCAGCCGGTGAAATCAAGGGGCAAGTTGCTTGTGAAGCAAATGGTGGCACAGAGGTCTCRTGCCAAAGCACTGTACGTTGGCACATGCCATGGGTTACCTGCTGTCTTGCTGAAGTAATAAAATGCTGTGGTTGTCCATAGGCAGTAAGGCATGCAGACCTCTTGGGTGTGATTCTGAATGCAAAAATAAATCTTGTTAACTTCATTGGAAGCACTTTGGGAAACATTGTCCTTTAAAGCTGCCGTTAAATACAGCTTCTGTGTTGGAAGCTGTACTGAGTTCCAGAAATAGTCATGAACGTTCACAGGAAATCCCTCCTAATACTTGAGTAGATGCATGGGGTTGTGCACTTGGGGCGACTGGGCAAATGGTCTATTTGTCCATGMAAGCCCCAAAGGAGGTGCACAAAGATGTGTTTTATACATGCAGTGAGCCCCCAACTTCCTTGGAAACGAGCCACCATGCACCTTAGCGAAACTCCTACCAATAAAACCTGGCGCTGCTCCAAAATCATGYAGAAATTTAATTACAAGTATCTGGAGGATCGGAGCTGCTCAGCCACAGAAGCATCCCCGCAGAGCAGCGAGTGCTTTATTTGATATCTTACCGAGGGAGGAAAGTATTTACAGAGCCAGTGCTYCTTTTAAACCGTTTTCCTCTTCTTTCCATATCATTTAATAAAATAGCTGCACRTTACCAGTCGTATTAATTACCTCAGAAATATTTTAATTCTCGTACTGTTTACTTTTGACCGCATTTGTGTCGTGCATTTGCAAGAGAAAAGTGGTTTTTTTCACTGATGAGCAGTAATTTGGTATACTGAAAACTGAACAAAATAAGGAGGTTTTGCTTTTTGCAAGCATCTTTCTCCTAGGGGCAATCCAGATGGAAATCTTCCTTCCATTTATCTTGGAAAGTAAAGGAATTACTTCACATTAGAGATGTGGCGATGAGAAGTTTTTAGAGTTAAAACAGGAAATAGCAAAAATTTCTCTCTAGGTGTGCCTGCTTGAGCAGGAAGGTTGGACTAGATGATCTGTAGAGGTCCCTTCCAACCTTAAATATTCTGAAATATTCTGAAATATTCTGATTACTAGTCAAGAATTTTTACATTTATTTTTAACTATTATTTTTAATTTGTGAGGGGACCAAACACGTATTCAACATGTTTGTGTTTTCCTGAGTTGAAGGAACAAATCTTTGACCAAATCCTCATCTGTCTGAAACATTTGGGTTTTTTTTCCAGTCTTGGCGAGGAGCAGGGGAGAAAACAAAGACAAAACAGTAAAACTTGTATCGTTTTTCCTTTTTTTTCTGGTTAGATTGTTAGAAGATGTTGCTTCTAAATGTCTGAAGCGAGTCCCATCCCAGCATCTCCTCGTTGCACTTCTTTAATCAGCCCCTGTGATGTGTTTCTCCCCACCATGTGTCAGACTTTTTGGCAAGCAAACAAATGTAGCAAGAATTATTCACGGAAAAGGTGCTGGCAAATAAGTGTTTCGTGAAGAACGTTGGCTCCCTGCTGTGATTTGTGAACAAAGTGGTACAAACCTCATCAATGAATTATGCAAAAATAGTCTCTTTGTTCAAGTAAAAAAAAAAAAAAAAAGTGGAGGAGGAAGGGAAAAAAAAAAGGAAAATAAGCTGTGTTAGGTGGTAGAGAAACTCATCCTCAGTGATTAGCTCTGGCAGACTTCCAGGCAGCATCAGAAGCTCTTCCAGAGTGAAAACCATTGATACGTTTATTTTTTTGAGATCCAAAGTTTCTTATGATGTGTTTTTTCCTAAGAAGGAAAAAAAAAGGAAAGTATTTTCTTACTAGACTTTCCAGTTTTAGTGCCAGAATTGCCAAAATGGAGTGTCAGAAGAAAGCTTCTCATAAAAGGATATGGCCAATTCCCAACTGGGATGTTTTCCCATTCTTGCCTTCAGCTCGCAGGGCAGGCTGTTGGTAGCACCAGGGAGAGTCAGGCTGGTCCAGCTCATCTCCTTTTGGAGAACTTCTAAACAAGGCACCCAAAGCCTTATCTGCTTTATCTGTTTAGTGATGCTGGGTCTTGCTGCAGCCATTGAGGCTCATGTGTCTAAGCTGTTGCTTGAGGAGCATTCAAGACCGAAGCTCTGCTGGTTTTTTGGAGTGTCAATGAGGCTTTTGCAAACGTTKGTGGCTGGGCTTGGTTTCAGAAAGCAACTGTGCCACCTCAGAAGTCCTTAGAAACTGTAGGCTCCTTTTTCCACCACTCGTTAGGAACCGCTGCTGTTCTTCAGACAAACCCAAAACCTCATCCTGATGGAGACGGGGGCCCTCGGGGCGGCTGTGTCTGTGTGGATTCCCTTGCTGCTTCCCCTTTCTCTCCCAAGAAAATTCTCCCGATGAAAGACGGAGATGAATTTTTGTGTTTTCAGTGGCTTGTAATGACCAATTTGCTTAGGAGGGAATGTAATTGCCTTGGAATACTCTGTAGGCAGTTTTCGCTTCAAACGAGGCTTTCAAATTGAGTCTGCATCTGTCTCTCCACTTGTTACCCATTGATTACATGTCCAGAAAGGGTGCGAGTCCTGCTGAAAAATGAACAGGATGAGGAAGGAGAGGCAGAGAAGATTGGCTCATTTAGGATGTGCTGGCGAGCTCAYAATATTCCTTATAACTGTATTTCCTTGTGCCTGATGTGGCTGCTACTCRTGGGCCCCTCTGCACGTGCAATGAGGGTTGGCTGGACTTCACATTGGAGACCTTCAGGGCAACCTTTGGGGCAACCTAGGGTGCCAGGGCATTAACCTTTACTGAGAAGAAGGCAAGAAGGAGGCTTGGTGAAGTGGCTGTTCCTGGGGTGTCGCAGGTGAAGGCTAAGGCTGCTGTAGACCCGCTGCCACGTGGTAGCCCGCAGAGGTGTCTCAGGCCCTGGCCAGGTGGTCCAGATGCTGCTCTGGAAGCCCCTGGTGAGCCGTGGCCCGTGAAAGCCGGCTGCTCGCACCCTGCTGCCCTGTCTGCTTTGTAAGGCAAAGGAACCCTACCAAGGCACGGATGGAAGCTGTGTTTCATAGGAGCAGATGGCATCAAAGCGCTCCCTTGCCTTCCCCTGATTTCCTTCACCTTTCACCCCTACCTAATACTGCTGTCCTGAGCTGTGCTGCAATAGGGAGACCTCCACAGAGACGTGCGAGTGTTCATGTCCTCATAGCCTTGTAGAGCCCGTTCCTTCATGAGCTGAGGTGAAACTCCGCTTTTTATCCCTCAGTTGAGATATGCAGCTCATCAGGACTGATTCATAGAATCATTAGGGTTGGAAAAGACCTTCAAGGTGATCATACGTCCAACCAATGGATGTATGGTTCAGTCTCGGGTGTTCTTTCTGCTTTCTCTCCCAGAGAAGGCTTTCCCGAGAAGTTTGCATCCCTCAGCCTTCTTTTCGCTGCATAATATCCAATTTGGATGTCTCCCGTGCACGCTGGCTGGGAAAACACCCGCTGCTACAACCAGGAAAATAAACCTCCCCACGTTGCAGCTGCTTGTTCACTAATATTTCACATATTGGCGTTTTATACCAGGGGGCATATTTATGTCAGATAAGGCATTTTATCTGCCAGGTGGGGATGGGAAGTGACTGCGCTGGAGAGGCAGCTTTGAGGATGCCCCAGAGACAGGAATTGTGCGGGTTGTCACTCTGGGATGAGAAAGGAGACAGCTTTTTCCTGCGGTTGTAACAACTAATGAGCCATATGTTGTCACGGGGGCATTTCGAGGCTGTTCATACAGACGTATACTGGAAACCTGGGGGAAATGAGGGAGTCATCCCGGGCGCAGGCTCATCCGTCAAGTCTCAGCCTCTCCACCATGGGCTCTGAGCTGTGGGAAGCAGYGGACACTTCAGGGGCAGAGAGACGTGATGTCCTCCCTTGGTAATTGCCTTTCAGTTGAGCCTTTAGTTCTGCCTTCCTCCTTTGCCTCCTCCTCCCCTCGAGATGCACGGTGCAAAATTCAGATAGCATTCAGAGCAGCCTGGAAGATGGATAAGGAGAGAGCTTGGGGTTGTCTGGCCCTAGATAAATATCAGGTTGGCTCTGAGTTTGCTCGAGATGTGGAGTTTGGGAGGYTGGACTGTGCTTCTGCCACGATGCCAGCACAGAGTTAGGTTCAATGTGGTTAAACCTCCTGGAAATTGCCCTGTTGTGTCCCTCAGTGCCCCAATGTGCTTGCTGGGTCCCAGGTGAGGACTGCAGAAACTCCAGATTAAGCTAAGTCCCTGTTAARCTGAATCACAGGCTTGGAGCTGTGAATGTCACGCGTGCCATGGGGACAAGAGAAGCAGCTCCTGTGCCTGGGCTGCTGACAAGAGGGAGCTGTTTGGCTTGTAAAACACTTGTGCTTCTCTCTACTAAAATAATCCTTTCAGCAGAAGAAGAAAACTATTGATCATTTGAGAATAGTCCTCATTCCCTCCATCTCTTGCTCCATTTAAACGAGTCTTACATGCAGACTCTAAATGTACCCTTCCTTTATGTTGGGTTGCTGAGGAGAAACRCGTTGCAGGCTTTAGAGGAGAACTATGGTATTTAATTGCTGTTTATATTTCACACCTTAAAAGACAACTGATTATTTCTTGTTCATAAAAAGAGASAGCAGCAATTATCTTGTGCTGAAGCAGCTCATAAAGTATCAGCAGTAATTAGATTCAGTGATGGAACATCTCATAGAGCAAAACAAAATCTGTCATTGCAATTATTTCCCAATACAGCAATGTCCACGTTGCATTAAGATGACAGCCAGCTAATCTGCAAAAGGCAAAGTTAAAAACT